TTTTTTTTTTTTTTTTTTTTTTTTGGTACTGGGGATTGAACTCGGGACCCTGCACTTGCAAGGCAGGCTGCAGAACCACTGAGCTAAATCCTCCCCCCATTTAATTAATTTTTTTAAAATGACATGTTTTATATGAATTTATCTTGTCTTCCAAAAACAGTGAAATCTTTTATTATTTATGGAATGAAGACTAGCAAAGTGTATCATAGTTATTTTAACGTACAAAGTAATTCTGATCATTTCAAAGTAATAGTCCCACTGTGAAACTTATAAACATTCAAGTTTAAAAATCTGAACCACTATAGCTTTTACATTTTTATAATTAGGGCTCTGAAGATGGCTTGAAAGAAAAAAATGAAATAATTGCCCGACTAGAAGAAAAAACGAGTAAAATTACTACAGCCATGAAACAGCTGGAACAAAGGTACAGCATTTCCAATACTAGTTTCTTTTCGTTCCCCTCTCCCCTCTTTTTCTTTATCCAACTCTGACACCTGCCACAGAAACCATTAGGAAGTAGAGATTAGGATGTGTTTTTGGTTAAGCTGTGCAGAATTTTATTTGCTTTATATTAGGTTAATTTGTTTGTAGTTACTATTTTGTAGATTTTTAAAAGGCCTAATATCAGCAATTTCCTGTGGTTCAATCTATAACAAAACAAATACACAAGCAAAAACCTGGAAAAATCCTAAGTGAACAACATACACGGTGGGGTTATCCCTGATTAGCTTCATGCGTATTGACCGTCATATCCTTTGCCACTCACCATCTCTGTATCTGTAATCAAGCATCCTGAACAAGCAGTTTAGTTTGCCTTCTCTGAGCCAAGTCCCTGAACCCAACCCAACCCAAGATATAGTTTTGTTTAAACTCAATCGTTTTATATTGGCATTTTTCACTTTTATCGTTGGAAAATGTAATGTATTCCATTGCCCTGTCATGTTGGTGTCGACATATGTCTTACCATTGCTTTCTTTGAATCTACCTATGAAAAACATAACTATTAATGCTTTATTGACATGAATATTCTTTTATTGACATCCTCTTTCTTCTTTTTTCTTTTTTGTTTTCTTTATCCCCATTTTTACATTTTGGACATCTTTATTACCTTTTTCTGTCTTTGATTTCTGTCCATTCCATCGTGAAGTGATAGCGATTTGTTAACTCAAACTAGGGTGATTGCAATGTCATTGGTGAAGTGTGCCGGCAGCGACACTCAGGACCAGTATAAGCTGGTCAAGGACATCTCTTTCTGAAAGCCACTTGCGCCTAGGCAGACTAAAGGGAAACCCATGTTCTGCTAGAATATCAGACAGAATAGAATAGGCGCGCTAGGGCCTTGGAGGCTTTCTCGTCGGCTACCTGGGCAGTATACTGCCTCGGGTGGAGCCTTGCACTTGGGTTTCCACAAACACATTCCTCACGCCTCGTGCCCAGGGCTGAGGGCAGCAGTGACAGGTTCCAAATGCTCAGCTACTTTTTGATGGAAAATATAGAAATTGTTTAAAAATAAGTTCTTCTGGGGTTTCACTTGTGTTGCCACAGATGTCTCCCCTGACCCTACCCTAGCCCACTGCCTAAGGATTCCCTCACTGCTATTTTTAATGTTTTAGAATAGTTTCTGACCCCGACCAGCCATCGTCTTGTGCTTTAGGCCCTCAGCTCCTGGTTCCCACTCCCTCTTCTGTGATAGCACAGCTTCAGGGCCTACCTCACTTCTTCCATTTTACTTTCCATGACCTTAGAAAAGAGCGTGGGCCCACTGCCTTAACATTTAAATTTCAATTTAAACTTGGAGATCACTTAAACGTTAATCTCCTTTCCTTGAAAGCAGCATTTATACTGCTGCAATACCTGAGGGCTGCCCCATAAGTCTGATTTAAAGTAGAGGGGAGACATAGGGCTTTTGGTTAGTTGAACAGAAGTGTCCCCTGCAGTTCCCTCCAAGGATCTGATGTCTCTTGGATCTTGGAGAATATTTTCTTATAAAATATTGAAGTTAAATGTCAGAAGTCTTAATGGTCAAGAGGGGTGCAAAGAGGAGCTAAGCCCTGGGACAAGCAGTGGTTTGCTAATAAAAACACAAAAAGTGAAAATCAAATTTTTTTAGCTAATTTTTAATATTTAATGTTGAGAGAAAAATAACCTCTAGAAAATGATGCCGAATAGTACTAAATTCTTTTTGAATGTTGAAAAATACATGTATACATACACATACGTGCATATACAAAGCTTTGGCCTAGCTTAGTAACTGTGTAATGGTCCTGTAGGAAGGACTGTGTTGTTTGGAGTGATTGTAGGCCTCTGCTCTGCTGCAGCAGTCTGATCTCCTGGCTTCTAGATCAACATAACAAATACCAGAGGGCCTCTTGGCCACATAGACACGCCTGCTATGCTTTCCACAGTTTTGTCAAACTTTAGAGCTCGTTCATGCTGCTCCAGATAATCGTAAAGGCTGTATTGCTTTGCACTGTTCATCGTGAGCAAGAAATAAACACATTTGAAGATAGTATTTCGAGCATATTGTGTACTGTGTTAAAAAAAATCACAAAACAATTTCTAGACATTGTGTGGCTCTTTCACATTTGAGTTTGTGAGTTTTCCCCCAAACTTTGTTTTCATTTAGAAATGTTTCTATTTCCCCATTTTTCTTTTATTTGTCTTCTTCACCCTTTTACACCCTAGTTCTAGCCTCAGTTTTACCCAAAGTTGATTTGAATTACACCAGATTACAGCAAGCAGAGAGGGCACAAACGGAAGCGGAAGGCGAGGACGAGAAGTACCTGCAGGAGTGTCTCAGCAAGTTGGCCAGCCTGCAGCAGCGCATCGCGCAGAAGGAGAGGCAGCTGTGAGTGCCACTCTCGGGGACCCACCTGACCCACCCCCGCTTTTTGCACATAATGGTAGAATATCAAAGTTTTTATTTACCTGATGATGCCAGCTAGTTCTTCCACTTTAAAAATAAAAAAAGGTTGAGCTGGGGATATAGCTCAGTGGTAGATCTCTTACCCAGTGTGCAAGAGGCCCTGGGTTGTGACCCAAGCATGTGCACATGCACACACACACAGAAAATATAATTGTGATATATTTTGTGTTTATTTTTGTTTTTATTCTTTTTTTGAGGGGTTGGGGTATGAGTCAGAGTCTCCCTTTGTAGTTCAACCTGGCCCTGAATTCACTCTGTAGCCCAGGCTGCCCTCAAACTTGTGATACTCCTGCTTCAGCCTCCTGAGTGCTGAGATTACAGGAGTGCACCACCACACCCAGGTATTCCAGGTATTTATTTACAGAGCACTTTCAGCTCCTTCTTGCTGTCTTCCCTAGGAGAACTTTATTTTTTCTTCTGTTAACATTAAGCTGTTGGCCATTAGGTATTATGTATAAGAAGGGATGCTTTTTTTTTTTTTGGTGGTGCTGGGAACTGAATTCAGGGCCTTCATCTAAGCTGCATCTCCAGCTCTTTATAAACTTTTATGACAGGGTCTCACTGTGTTGCCCTCAGCCTCCCAAAGTCGTCTGGTATTGCTGGTGTGTGCTTTTATTACCACAAGGAGTTTATGTCATCACAGAACATGCAGTTTTCTGAGAACAGTTTTAGTATTTTATATGATCTGTGTAGCACCAACTAGGAAGGATGTCAGTATATGATACTGAGTTTAAAAAGAACAGGTTTGGCTGTGGATGTAGCTCAGTGGTGCTGTGCCTGTCCGGCAAGTGCAAGGTCCTGAGTTTGACTCCTGGTACCAAAAATACATAAATAAATAAACAGGTTTGCAGTCAGGTTGTTAAGTATTATTCCATTTTTAGTAAAAGTAATAAAAACCATTAAATATATTCACATGAACACAGAAAAGTGGTGGGGTTTCTTTTTGTTCATTATTTGTTTTTGAAGGTACTGGGGATTGAACCCAGGCCCTCATACCTGCTAGGCACACACTTATCACTGAGCTACATCCCGGCTCCCTTTATTTTGAGACAAAGTCTCATTAAATTGCCTAGGCTGGGTGCAAACATACAATCCTTCTGCCTTGGCCTCCCAAGTACCTGGTATAATAGGAATTTGCTATGCCTAACTTGATTTGAACTATAAAATCTAAAATGTAAGCCAGCACAATGTTGTATGCCTATAATCTGAGCTTCCTGGGAGGTTGAATCATGAAGATTACAAGTGCAAGCCCAACCTGGGCACTTTACTGAGCTGAGATTTTGTCTTAAAGAGAAAGAAAAGCTGCGGGGGTAGCTCAGTGCAAAGGTCCTGGGTTCAATCCCTAGAAATGCAATCAATAAAAGAAAATCTTAAATATTTTCCACTAGGAAATATGTGGCTGTGGATAGAAATGGCTAGCTATGAGAAAGCAATAAGAACGCAAAGAACAGAAATATTAAAATGGTATTGTGATTGTGATCTGCTTAATATTATGAGATTTAATATTACAATTAAAATATAAATTATTAGAAACTAGTATTATTAGAATATGTGCTTTGTTACATCTACTTATGAGCAATAATAAGGGAAACATTTGGTGGGGTTGGGGTCAGTCTGAAACGCAGGACCTCAGCCGGGCCTAGGGGCGCAGCCATAACCCAAGCCCTTGGGGCCAGAGGCAAGATTACAAGTTCGAGGCCAGCCTGGGACACATAATGAGACCTTGATGCAAACCAGAAAGAAAAGGTAGGACTTTGTTTCATTTTGCCAGCTGGACCCTATTGCTGGAGAGACGTCAGTGCTTTCCTGAGAGCTGGCGTCGTCAGGCAGTGTAGACTTTTCCTCAGTGTCTCCTGGCCTTAGATGTGGCCTATAATCGGTCAGCTTCGAATAGTGATCCACGTGTTAGCACTCCTTACCAGGACTGATTTTGCTATTACTGATCTTAAATTGAATTAGCAGCTGCTGCATTTATCACGAATAATCATTAGTTATTTGTGTAAAAAAAAAAAAATTCACTCATCACAGAACCTCCTTAGTCAGTTCCCTGCATTTCTACCCTTGGTCCCATTGGGCTGCTTTTCACAGACAAGCCTGCCCTTCCCTGGCATTTGCTGTGGCCCAGTGCTTGGGGATAGGGAGGAAAACCATAAGTGACTGTCCAGTCGGGGCTCTCTGAAGGGTCTGTGGACTGACCGTGTACACCAGAAATATTCCTGCAAGCAATACCTGTAGGAGGCATTGTGAGGCCAGAGCAGGCCAGCAGAAATGCTCGGGAGGGGACAGCACCGAGCTCTGTTGCTGTCATTCCAGGGTGCAGCTGGAAACCGACCTGAAGATTGAGAAGGAGTGGAGGCAGACGCTGCAGGAAGACCTTCAAAAGGAGAAAGACGCCTTATTTCAGCTCCAAAATGAGACTGAACAGATCGTCAGTCTTAAAAAAGTTAAGAGTGGGAAGACTTGAGATGTTATATTAACAAATGTTAATTTACTTAAAAAGATAATTTATATAACTTACATTTATACAAGGAAACAGTAGGGCCAGGGATTTAGCTCAGTGGTTCTGCTGCCTGTCTTGCAACTGAAAGGTTCTGAGTTCGATCTCTGGTACCAAAAAAAAAAAAAAATTCATACAAGGAAACAGTATGTAGTGGACCCTTGAATTAGGAACTCAGTTCCTTTTTGAGGGCTGGTTATAACTCAGGTTGGTCAGTTGCCTTCACGGTCTCTCTCCTGTGTAATCTTAGGCCACACTTTCTTCCAGGCAGATCTCAGAGAGACACTGGCCCAGGATTTCTCAATTAACCCCACATAAGAAAAGCTGTTGTAATGTTCCTTCCAGAACTCTTCGAGGGTTAAATCTGTATCTGAGACTATCGTAACTCAAAACATTGTAAGTTAAAACTAAAATTCTGATAGTAACCCACATTGTTCATTGTATGTCTGGCCAGTCTTAACCTGAGTGTCCACTGTATAATTCTCATCTGAAGGAGTAGAATATAGTAAGGAAATTAAGGAAACAGAAAATAATTGAGGGGCTGGGGATTTAGCTTAGTGGTTCCACCGCCTGCCTCACAAGTGCAGGGACCTGAGTTCGATCCCCAGTACCAAAAAACAAAACAAAACAAAACAGGAAACAGTTTATACAGCACGTAGGAAAAAAAAAAAGGTTGGGTGTGGTAGTGTGTCCCAAGTTTGAGGCTGGCCTGGGTTATATAGAGAAACCCTTTGTAAACACCAAAACATACAGCATGTAGGAAAGGGCTTTGGGTACCTAGTTGTGTTTCTTATAAAAAGCTCAAAGATAAGCCAGGCATAGTGGCGCAGGCCTGTAATCCCAGTATTTGGGAGACTGGCTGAGGCAGAATTGCCACAAGTTCAAGGCCAGCCTGAAGTACAGTTAAACACCTCTCAAAAAACCCCAAAAACTCAGTGAATAGAAAATTCTTTTTTTTTTTTTGGTTTTTTGAGACAGGGTCTCATTATGTAGTTGAGACTGACCTGGAACTCACTATGTAGCCCAGGCTGGTCTCTAACACACAGTGATCCTCCTGCCTCAGCCTCAAAAGTGCTGGGATTACAGGCATGCACCACCACGCCTGGCTGAAAATTCTTTTGAATTAAATAAATCTTTGTGGATTTAAATACCAAATCTATTAAACAACCCCCCCCCACACACCATGTTGTGTTGTTTTGTTAATTCAGGCTGGTTCTGAGCTCACAGCAGTCCCCTGCCTCTGCCTCCTAGGTGTTAGAATTACAGGCCTGCATCACACAAAGCCATGCACACACACACCATTGGTACCTTTATTGGAGAAATCTTTGTGAGACTTCTTATGAACATACCTGGAATATTTAATATACACATAGAATTTGGTGGTAGAGCTTTAAATTACTCATTGAACCATAGTAAATGAAGTGAATAAGCTGAGCTTTATTTGTTTATTTATATTTTTGGTTTTTTTCTTTTCTTTTTTTTTTGAGACAGGGTCTCACTATGCAGTTGAGACTGACCTGAAACCCACTGTGTAGCCCAGGCTGGTCTCAAACTGTGATCCTCCTGCTGGGCATGGTGGTGCATGCCTGTAATCCCAGCACTCGGGAGGCTGAGGCAGGAGGATCACAGTGAGTTCGAGACCAGCCTGGGCTACACAGTGGGTTTCAGGTCAATCTCAACTGCATAGTGAGACTCTGTCTCAAAAAAAACAAAACAAAACAAAACAACGATAAAAAAAGATCAAGGATATTGATTTGTTCCTAATTAATGGTATATAGACAATGTGATAGATTTCTTTCCTTTAAATTGTTTTTTCTCTTTTATTGTTTTGAAGGAGTTCCTTAATCTCCAGGATGAAAATCAGCAGTTGAAAAAAATATATCATGAACAAGAACAAGCTCTTCAAGAACTTGGCAACAAACTTAGCGAGTAATTTCCCTTTTTCTTTAATTAAGTAGCCATTCACTCTTATAAAGGAATGAATGTGCTGAACCAATTATGTAGAAAAGTTTAAATAGAAGAAAAAGATAGGAACTATTAAAGAAAAACAACAAAAAATTTAACGACTAAAAAATAAGCCAGGTGTGGTTGGGCATGTCTGTAATCTCAGTACTAAGGAGGTGAGGCAGGAAGATTGCTGTGAATTGGAGGCCAGCCAGGGCTACATAGTGAATACAAGGCCAGTCTGAACTACACAGCAAGACCTTGACTCAAGAAAACCGATGTGTGGCCAGGTGTTTGGTGTAAGCTTATGAGGGTTAATTTACTGAATGTACCACTCACACATTTGCAAATAATTCACTTCTTTTAATATAGAAAACTAAAAATAAAAAACTACAGTGGCCCATTAATCCATTCACCTTTATAAATTCTTTGTTTTATATTATAAAATTAGCACAAAAAAAGGTACAAAATTAGAGCGAGGTGTGGTGATACATGCTTTAATCCCAGTACTAGGGAGGCTGAGTGGGGAGGATCACTGCAGATTAGAAGATAGCCTGGATTACACAGCAAGACCCTGTCCCAGCCCCCCACCAAAAAGGCACAAAATTAAAAACAAGAGCTTCCTCCTGCCAAAATATCAGTTTGCAGTGTTGGAGCGAGGTTTGCGTGTGAGCATTCCAGCCATGTGCACAGATCTGATGAGTTATATGGCGGTGCCTGTGTCGTTTGTAGAGATTGAGCTCCATGGAGATCATGCTGTAATGGAGACGGTGACAGGAGGATTCGCATAAGAGGGATGAGGCCAGTTCCCAAAGGCAGAAGGGTTTCCATCAAAGGAGATGTCCACTGTCAAAAGAACAAAGCTGTTGTTATCTCTATAGGTTTTCAAAGAACAGTTCACCCTGTGGCTCTGATAAATAAGCCCCTCACGCCATCTGACAGCCGTTCATGGAGCACATTGGTCAGACTGTGATAAGCATTAGGACGTCATTTCCCATGCACTCGCTCTGCTGGCCGTTGTTTCCTGAGTGGCTCTGAGCCAGGCCCTGTGCTGACAGACTGACCGTGTGTGGTCTCAACTTGATAGATTGGTGTTGTAACGTTAAAATGGAACAGGAGACCAGTGTTATGTCACTGCTGTCTGCTTCGTACTGGAGTTGCAGTTCTGTTAAATGCATGGTCATTTCAGTGTCACGATGCTGCCTTTGGACTTGGTACTTCCTTTAGTCTGGTTCTTTTTTTTTTCTCAAATTTAAAAATCTGCAAGCAGTTTATGGTGTAAGGTTAGTGTACCACACAACCTGTACCAAATGTGTGGGCTATGGAAGGATTTTCAGGGGTTACTTTGACTGAGGTCTTTTCTTACATGCTGACTTGCATACCTAACCTGAGCATATGTATTAGTGCTGGGTGCACAGGTTCAGGTGGGAGGCTGAGGGAGGAAGATTGCAAATTTGACACCAGGCTGGCAACTTAGCAAGACTCTTTCAAAATAAACAATCAAAAGGGCTGGGGATGGAGTTCAGTGGTCACTGCCCCTGGGTTCAGTCCCCTGGTAGCACATGCAGGTGATTAAGTTATGCCAACATGCCTCTCTGCCACCTCATTCCTGTCGTCACACTAAAGCACAAAGGACACATTTCTCCCCACCACACAATAGCAAGAATAGTTCTTCCAAAACTTGGAGGTGGTGAGGGACAAGGCTGTGCCAATTTTTGTGCTGGGGACTGAACCCAGGGCCTTGTGCATACTAGATTGCCAGTGAGGATCATTGCTTTCGTTGGTCTTTTAAGACAGGGTCTTAATTTTAGCTTGCCTCCAACTCACAGTCCTGCCTCAGCCTCCAAAGTGCCACCCAGTCATTGCTTTCTAGCTGGTGTTTGGCTTTGTAGGTCATTTAGCTATTGTTTTAAATGGGGTGGGAGCATACTGTAGAATGGGTGCTGAGATTCTAGGTGTGTACCACCATGCCTGGTTTGAGTCAAATTTGTAAAAGGGGAAATTAAAATTTCAGAGTTGTTGTTAAACTTACCTTTGTGCTCTGTACTTTGAAGGTAATCCTAGGTTTGATAGTATTCGTTAATATGATTCAGAAATAAGTAACTCCCTGCCAGCACCTAGATATGTGACAAAGGGTTAAGCCACCCCTACCCCCGCTGTAAAATAGTCCCACAACCCCCAAGGAGATGTGGGTGACCGTGCAGCCGGGAAGTGAGCTGTTGCTCTGTACACTGAGGCACTGGATCAGAAACTTACTCACCTTGATATTTTAGGCCTGCAGTTTGTATAAGTGGTTAATTTTAATTAGAAAAACACTTTAACAAAGTATTTGCTCTTACTGGCTTATTACTGAAGTATTCTTAGAGCGTTTTTTGTTTTTTTTTTTGAAATAGGATCCTGTTTTATAGCCCAAACTGGCCTCAAGGTCTTGTTAATCTTCCTGCCTCAGCCTCCTGAGTGCTGGGATTTCAGGTGTGTGCCACCATGCCCAGCCACACCGTAATGTTTTTGACTGAAATTGCTGTAATATTTGATCAGTGAGGGGTGATCATCATAAAATGCTGTGAATGTTTACATTTAAAAATGTATTATGGCCGGGGCTGGTGATGTAGCTCAGTGGTGCCAAGCCTGCCTCATAAGCGAAAGGTCCTGAGGTCAGTCCTCCGGTATGGGGTGGGTGGGGGGAGAAATATTACAGTAATAGATACATGCCATTAATCCTCTCAAAATTATACTCCAGATACACTCCCTCACTTCTAACACAATTATCCCATCCTTCTTAGAAATCTTTTAATTTTTCAAAATGTAAATATTCGCTGTTTCTTTACGTCACCTCTTGTTTTTAAAAGGTGAAAAAAGCATCATATTGTGCTCTCACAGCGTTTATTCCTCCACACCTTGTATCTGCCTTGCCCCCAGCGTGGCTGGCTGGTGTGTGCCACCATGCCCAGCTAGTTGTATACCCTGCCCAAAGCCAGTGCCTTGCTAATCAATTGCTAGTCAGTACTAAAATGTGGACCTGTTTCTAATCTTTTTAGATCCAAGCTTAAAATAGAAGATATAAAAGAAGCTAACAAAGCCCTGCAGGTAAGTAGTAAATGCTTTCCTCCAGTAAGAACATGTAAATCTGTGTGAACGTCTCCAACACAAAGCCAAGCAGTGTGTAACCCAAGGTGTTCTGTGGCTCAGGAAGGTGCTGGCCGGACCTGCTCACAGCCCTGTGCAGCAAGTGGCAATTAGACAATGGATGGATGGGGGCCTGGCCCTTCCTTTACTGCGGATGTCGCTTTCACTGCGAGTCTTCCTGATGGAGGCTGACCTTAGACAGAATGTCAGTCCACTTCCTTACATCCCTGATGGCGAGCATTTTAGGGCTTTCAATGATACAAAGCCCAGTGGCACACATACCATAGGTTCGCCACCACTGCCCTACAGTGTGACGTGAGAGTTAAAAGTGCTCTGAACTTAATCTTTCAGTTCCTATGTCAGTTTATTAAAATGGTTTGCAGTTCGTGACTTTCAGCAGGTCTGGGAGTTTTGAGTTTCCTCTTCCTAAGCTATCTTAGGAGTCTCTAGGGTCGCTTTGGACATGGAGGATGTTAATCTGTGTGGACGTGGCTGGTACCACTCATCAGCACACTGTTGTCAGGCATCTGCTTGCACAAATCCCTTCTGATATAGGAGAAAGTGGAGTGCACAGTGAGCGCTTCAGTGACATTTCCTACCCCAAACTACCAGTTCTTTTCATCAAGATGTTCCATGAAAACAATCTTAAAGAGTCCTAAAAAGACAATAAAAATTAAGCCTTCAGTCCCTTGTCCCTCACCCTAGATCCAGCTGCCCCGAGAGCTACTTTATTTTGACCTTCTAGGATTTATTTATAAATAACCTGCTCATTTTTAGCTTTGGTTTTTTGAGACAGGGTCTGTTAAGTCCAATCTGGCCTCGAACTCCATGGTGATCCTCCTGCTTCATTCTCCCAAGGGCTGAGATTACAGGCATGAACCACCATGCCTTGCACTTATATTACTTTTGAATCATCAGTTTTGTCTTCCCAAGGTAGATAAGAGTTTTGTTCACTTTCACATTGGTCTCTTGCTTCTCTTCAGTGTCTTTTCTCCCCTGCAGTGCTAGGGAATTGAACCCAGTGCCTTTTCACTGAAATACATCCTATCTCCCACTCCCCTTTAAGACAGGGTCTCATATTTACATTCCTCCTGCCTCAGCCTCCTGGACTGGTGGAATTCCAGGTATGCACCATCATCCCTAGCCTCTTATTTTTGATTCTTCACAATCTATAGCTGTAAAATGTTCTTGGGCAAAATAAATTTTGAGACATTCTCACTATATATAGTTCAGGCTGGCTGGCCTCAAACTTAATGACAATCCTGCTTCCTCAGCCTCCCAAGCGCTGGGATTACAGGTGTGTACTGTGATGCCTGGCCTCAAGTGTGAGTTTTAGTGTTACCATTTTGATCATTAACGCCTACTTTTTCTTCCTTCTACAGGGACTCGTTTGGCTGAAAGATAAAGAAGCAACACACTGTAAGCTTTGTGAAAAGGAATTCTCACTCTCTAAGAGAAAGGTAAAGGAGGCAGGGAATAGAAAGCTTTTAGTACACAATGTTCTAACTTAGTAAGTTGTTCTCTCACTTTTTCATATAATAGCACCACTGTAGGAACTGTGGGGAAATCTTCTGTAATGCCTGCTCTGACAACGAACTGCCTTTGCCTTCCTCACCAAAGCCGGTACGGGTCTGTGACTCTTGCCATGCGCTGCTTATTCAGAGCTGCTCGTCCAGTCTGCCCTGAGTAGAGCTGGCTCTTGGCCTCCAGAGCTCCTGCAACCCATTGCGGTTGTGTGACGGACCACTTGGACTTGCCTTCCAGACAGCCCTTGTTCAGCAGCTGAAGTGTCACTTTAACACACCTCTAAACTCACAGCACCGGGCAATGGGATGACTTGTTACTAACTCTCCGGCTACCTGGAGTCCCCCACAGCATGTTGAGATGACTTAGTGTAATTACCACGTGAATAACTGTAACCCTAAGCACCCCAGGGCCCTAAGCGTACCCCGCACACTCTTGCCTTATGTTGCTGAGGCTGTCTTACAGTAAGGCTGCAGATTGTTCATTCCTTCCAGTTGGCATTTGGTGATGCCGGACATTCTCCTACTGCACTTTAAAGCTTTGCAACTATCAAAGACTGGAAATGCACACTTTTTACAAGTATTAACATAATTTGTTTTGTTATTCTGTAAGATTCAAGTTTATTTGCTTTTTTCTCTTTTGCAATAGAAAAGGCTAATTCCCTTTGGCCCTTTCTACAATCCGTTACTACTGTGCATGTTAATACCCCTTTTTTTTTCTTGGTACCAGGGATTGAACTTGGGCCCTTGTGTTTGTGAGGCAGGCCAGCAGAATCAATGAGGCAAATCCTTGGCCAATTTTTTTTGGTACCAGGAATCAAACTCTGGACCTTGCACTTGTGAGGCAGGCAGCGCAACAAAACTGAGCTAAATCCCCCGCCCTCCCAGATGTTGATTTTTAACAAGGGGTCAGACTCTTAATTCAGATATTACATAAACCCGTGGAGGCTTGACAGCAGGGAATGACAGGTTCATACTTCCTGGTAAACACCTATTCCCTGGCACACACATAATTGCAGCACTCTTGAGTGATCACAAATTTGAGCAGAACCTCTGCAACACAAGTGAGATCCTAACAATAACAAAAATAGTAAAATAATAAAAACAAAAGGAGTAAGGATAGAGCTTAGTGTAATGGCCCTGGGTTCAATCCCTGGTACTAGGGTGGAATGGGGATAGATGCTCTTAAGCATTTAAAACAAGGGAAAAACCAAAATATTTCCTTTGGCATGATAGGATGGCAGCTGACAGATGTTTGTTGCATTGCTAGAAAGCATTACTGAGATGACCTGCCGCTGCAATCCATGTCCCACATCCACAGGAGTTCATCTGCCAAGCACCTCCACATCAGGGTCTTGGGTAGATGTGCTTATTTCAAAGATTGATTCAGTGAACACTGACCCGTATTTTGCTGGCAGCACTAGAATTCAATCTGTAGTCACTGTTACCTTGTATCATTACTCAAACATTACCACCATTCGTGTTTTTTAGCCATGCCCTTTGTGAATCTTCTAAAAAATATACTAGAGAAATTATATGTTTCTCAGTGTTATATTCAGTAATAGATGTGTCCCTGCCCTTTAACTATTCTGCAGGACCTTTTCCCGAGTATATACACTAGATTTAAAATTAATTGCCAAAGTATTAAGTCACTATTTTGAAAATCTATTTTTTCCAGAACCCATACATTTTCAGTCAGTTTTTAAGGTCACCATGAGGTATATCTGATTTCGATTTTTAGATGTTCTTTCTTGAAAACTGACAGATGTCAAGAGATAATTATATTCTTGAACCCTTTTGTATCAATGCAATAGATTAACATTTTTATGATCCTTGAAAACAAGTCTGTGTAAATGAAATTTTCAAATAGATGTTATGTATTTCAAATTTTAAAATTTGTGGTACCAGGGATTGAACTCGGGTCCTTGCGCTTGCGAGGCAGGCCACTGAACTGCTGAGCTAAATCCCCGGCCCTATAAAATAATTTTTTAAAGACAGGGTCTCGCTAAGTCCCTAAGTTGCCCAGGGTGGGCCTGTGTGATCCTTCTGCCTTGGCCTCTGAGAGTGCTAGGGACTACAGGTGTGCCAGCCTGCGTTTTTGGTACCAGGGATTGAACTCGGGTCCTTGCGCTTGCGAGGCAGGCCACTGAACTGCTGAGCTAAATCCCCGGCCCTATAAAATAATTTTTTAAAGACAGGGTCTCGCTAAGTCCCTAAGTTGCCCAGGGTGGGCCTGTGTGATCCTTCTGCCTTGGCCTCTGAGAGTGCTAGGGACTACAGGTGTGCCAGCCTGCGTTTTTTTCTTGAGTCGGCTTTTCCGGCTTAAGGGCCATTGATACTAATATAGATTTTTCTGTTTAAAAATATTTTATAGCCAGGAATGTAGGCACATGCCTGTAATTCCAGCACTCTGGGAGGGTGAGGCAGGAAGATCACAAGTTCAAGCCCAACCTGGGCAACTTTGTGACCCTGTCTCAAAAACAAAACAAAAGGTTGTGGATATAGTTCAGTGTGAGTGCATAAGTTCAATCTCTAGGGCCACAAAAGGAAAAAATAGACACACAAAAAAAAACTTTTCATAACTCTTACTTTGTGGTTATGGACCGAACACTACTTTTACTTTAAATGATAAATGCATATTCCATCCCCCTTATCTAGCCAGAACTACTACAATGACAGGGTCATGGTGCCAATGAATTACAAATTCCTTTATCTTGTAATGTTTTAAAGATGTGAATTTTATAAATCAAATAAAAATTAAAAAAATTAGTCTCTAACATCTTATACTTTGCCTGAAGATTCTTAAGACATTACTATGGGAAAATAAAAGCACATCAAACTTGTCACACCTGCCTCACAAGCACCAGATCGAGCTGGATCTCCAAAGAGGGTGCGGCTAACAAAAAAACTGGGCTGGGGTGTGGCTAAGTAGTAGAGCATTCAAAGCCCCTCCGCCAAGAAGAACCCTGCCGAGAGCCAGCAAGTGCCAGATTCATGGGCTATACAACTTTCTAATAACAGAAACTTGGTAACCTTTATCTAAATGTTCTTTAATTTGGGTATGTTTAGGACTTTCTGCAAATCCAGTTTATCATCAGTAACCAACACGAAGCATTCTAGGACAGACGCCATACCATTATCTCCCACATTGACATTTATTACATAACATTTCTAGCAAAACAAGTAAGTTCAATAAATGATTTCACATTGACAGGTTTCATTTTGATCCATTAGCCAATTTGGAAAAGAAAAGCCATACTGATCCAAGTTGTAAAATTAAAAAGCACCTTTTCCTTGCTACATATGGTATTTTTAACTAAAACGTCAAGCTGGTACCAGATGCAAAATCCAACTGCAGGATTTTTATGTAACACAGATTTGTGTCTTACATTGTTTTGATGTAGTCACTTATACAGATATTTTAAAACCATATACTCGACTGGGCAAGAAACTGAAAGTACATCTGTGAGAATTATACTCCACAGTGAATACCTCAATTCTCACGTCATTGAGAAACTTAACCTACTCTAAGACATCTTGAAATAACTTACAACTCTCACTTTTGGGAAACATTTTTGGTACTTCGGCCAAGTGCTGAGGGGATTTTATTCTAAAATCTAGGGCTAGCATTTAAACTTTCAACACTCCCTTCCCTAGGTAACACAATTATGAACATTCAGAAATCCAGGTAACTCTTACTCCATCAACATTTCAGAACTGCGCCTGATAATGACATCTGAAAAAGAATATAGAATTAGCGGAATTTATACTCCTGAAGCCACCTAAACTCATCTTTAGGCTTTATAATTACAGTGCTGACCAGAAGAAAGTAAAGAAAAAAAGTCACACCCAGTTATTCAAGCTCTAGTTCAGATGTCTGCTTATTAAGACTTGCAGTTATGTAGAAGTGAACCATTACCCTCCTAATATTACGCTACACTGTTTGTACAGCTAACAGTAAAATACATCAACCCAAATCTTATGAAGGCAGCACATCTTAAGAGTAACTAGTATATATAAAAAGTATCAACATCAGTGGTTCGAATATAAAAATTTATTTTTAAGTCAAAGTATGCAACAAATAAAACCTACAGAAAACAGATTTTCCCATCACAATCTGTTGCTTTACCAAATAATATTTGAAAACACATTCCTTCAGTCATTATAAAGTTCTTAAAATACAAAAGAAATCAAATCTGTAAGAAAGTCTAGTAGACCAGATGCTGCTGTTAGGACTTCTGTGTTGGTGTCACGTTCAGTACATCCCACGCCATCCGCCTCCACTCATGCCACCTTGCCCATAGTAGCCGCCACTCCCTCCACCACCACGGCCTGAAGAGACAGGAGTTGCTGAACAGGAGACACCCATACACAAAATACTCAAAATAATGTCTGCACTCAAAATTATGGGTACTGCATGTGGGGGCTGGGTTAATACATACCAGAGATACTTACCATAGCCACCCAAGCCATCAGGAGTACCATATCCTCCGCTGTAATTGTTCCCCATTCCCATCCTTCCAACAGATCCATATCCTCCCTGATTATCTTTACAAGAAAAAAGGGGGGGGGGAAGCATTTGAAACTAACTGCCAAGTAGCTAAGGCTGCTTATTTTAAAAACTGTACATACCCATTCCATCTCTGCCGTAGCCTCCCATGCCAGAACCTCCCATTCCAGAGCCACCTCCGGGAGTGGAATTTAAGAAGAGTTCAATGTATCGATGTTCTTTAAAAGTTAAGAGTAAAGCATGGGTCAAATTTATCAATAAAATCTAATAATAAACTGCAAGTACACCTAACATTTGAGGTATGAAAAAAACCTAAGGAAGACAAAGTCTACATAGAAGTCAAATGATTTCAGAAACCTGTGTATCCTAGGACTTCTTATATTTAAACAAATCAGCAATTTACTCCATAGGTGAGCTCACATGCAGCGAATGACTATTAAACCTAAAAACCAAATCGACCCTACACAGATTAACACCAAGCCACGTGTTGTGGCCTCTGCCTATAACCTCAACACTGGGCTTATGGCAAGGTCACAAATTTGAGCGTGGCCTGGGCAACTGAGATCCTTCCTCAAAAAGAAAACAAGGCACTGGGCCTGTGTCATAAGCACAAGGTTGCAAGTTCGATCCCTGGTTAGCCCCCCGCCCCCAAAAGGGCTGGGACTGAAGCTCAGCACCAAGGCTATGTTCAATCCCGGGTACTGCCCCCCACCTAAAAGGCACACCAAAGATACCACTTACGCATGTTATTTTTATCTTTAGACATGGCAGCTACTGCATCTTCATGTGTCACAAACTCTACATCTGCTTCTCCTGTTGCTCTTCCATCTGCTCCAATATCAATATGAACTCTTATTGGATTTAGTGGTGAAAAGAACTAAAAAGTAAACAAATTGTTATTTTTCTTCCAGTTACTAAAATTGTGACACACCTTGATTTTTCTTCATCTATTAAAATAAACTCTTCCAGGGGTGGGGATTTAGCTCAGTGGTTCCACCACCTGCCTCAAAAGCACAAGGTCCCAAGTTTAATCCCCAATACCAAAAACAAACTCTTCCACTGCTCTAGGTTGCTAAGTTAATTGTAACAGAAATTTCAGCGAATGACTATTAAACCTAAAAACCAAATCGACCCTACACAGATTAAAAGCCTCATATCCGACCATAAGGGTAAATTTTAAGGCCAGGCATGGTGGTGCATGCCTGTAATCCTAGCACTTGGTAAGGCTGAGGTAGGAGGATCTGTACAAGTTCTAGGCCAGCCTGCACTACAGTGAGACCCTGTCTCATAAGTAAATACGTATGTACATATGTCCTACTTACTGGATGCTGGAGGTATTTTAGGCAGAACATGGTGGTGGATGCTTGGAATGCCAGCTATTTGGGAGGCAGAGGCAGGAGTTTTGCAGGCTTGAGGCCAGCCTAAGCAGTCCAGAAACCTTGTGTTAAATAGAGATGAACTCAGTGGTGAAATACGTGCCTAGCATGAAGTACAGTCCAGGGGATTCAAGTATCCATTACTATATGTATATATATATATATTAAAAACAAAAAAGGAATTAAAAAAAAAATTCAAGGGCTTGCAATGTGTCTCAGTGGTAGAAAGATTACCTATCTAGCATGTATGAGACGCTGGGTTTGACCCCAGTACAGCCAATTAAAAAGACAGGTATTTTCAGCTGAGGGAAGTCACGCACACATTTGTAATCCTAGCATGGGGTGGGGTGGGGGATATGTGGCTCGGAGGCAGGAGGATCTTAAGTTTCAGCTCAGCCGGGAGAATTAGCAAGATCCTGCCAAATGAAATGAATGGAGTGTGGGGTAGTAGCTCAGTGTGAAGGCCCTGGATTCAATCCACAGAACTGCCAATCTTTTGGTTTGCCTGGGCTGAGTGAGCAGGAACTGTCTTGGGCCATAATACTAGAAGCCCAGGGCTACACATATTACACATGCCTAATCATGAATAAACTTTTGCTTTAGTAACCAGATGCTATTTTTGGCTTTACAAACCACCAGATCTCAATTACTCAGTGGGTAAAAGCATGGGGGTACGTGTGTGTGACTACCTTTGATCCATGGGTGTAAGTCTAGTCATCCCCCCACCAATCAACTTGAAATCTACTGTTTTCATTTAAAGCAGCAGTGGCTACCTACCTAGCCTGGAAAGCTAAACAGATGAAATATGTTACATAACTCTGAAAATTTGAAATCTTGCAGCCACAACCACTCTATGCTCAGTCTCTTGATTACATTATTTCCTGTCCCACACAATGGTATTGGGGATCCAGCTTAGAGGAGAGCGAGTTCATCCCTGGTCTTTTGGAAACAGGACCCCAAAATTTCAATCCTCCTACCTCAGGCTCCAAAACAGCTGAAACTACAGGCTTGCACAACCATACTGTGCACCTCTATCCTTGACTTATAAAAACAGCTTTTTACCCACTTATATCCTATTGTAAGCATAAAATGAACACAAACGTACCAACTACTAAAGACAGGGCAAACATATGTTTACATCTGTGGTCTTTTCTCCCCAGTGCTGGGGACAGAACAGAGGACTTTGTGCACACCAGGGAAGTGGTCTAACAATGAGCTTCACCCTCAACCTGGACTGATGTTAAATTATAAAGAATGGGATGACATTAATCCTTTAAAACTGATAGCAAATATAAAAACACTATTACTAAATTACTCACATTAGCAATGTCATTTTCAGTTGCTCGAAAAGGCAACCCTCTCATATGTACGAAGTGACCACCGTGAAAACCTGAACTCGCATCACCAGCGCCACCATAGCCATGTCCTCCCATACCTAAAAAATAAAAGTTCACCAGTATTATAAACCACTGATATATAAAAACAATACATATATTACAAGATAGAAAGCTCTTTAAAGGAATGCACTGAAATGATTGTCAGTTTTTATGAGTCACCTATATTGTCACTAAAAGTAAAGCAAATAATAACAATTACAATTTACTTCAGAATGAAACTTGATTTTACCTCTCCCATCTCTCATTCTGTCATCAAAGCCATCATTTCCGTAGCCGTAGTTATTATAGCCACCATAGTCATCAAAACCTCCATAACCTGTGCAATTTGAGAAATACATAAATACCATATTCCAAGAGATGAAATTTTGTTTACAAAAACACACTTTCTGTTATTTCAACATTTTGAGTTTGCAACCCAACTTACTGTGTATTAAAGTTAACATTTAATTGAAATAAAAAAAAACCTCAAAAGGATAAACTCAGACATAACAAGTAAACTGAATTTCATGCCTATGCCAATTTAATTTTCACTTCTGTGCAAGTTTTCTAGGTGCCAATATGTGCATCAATCAAGTCCCACAGAAGGCCATGGGAATCCGTATTTTCATGAACAGGTTTTAAAACCTACAGGTACTGAAATTACTGCCATTTCTATATTTCTTGACAAAAATGTCAGGAATATTAAGAAAATGACAACAGAACCTTTGTTCATTAGATACACATACCACCATCATATCCATCACCTCCTCGGCGCATTCTGTCATACATACTTCCACGCCCAGCTCCATAATAACCCCCTCTTCCTCCTATTGGTCTATCATATGGTCCCGGCCGTTGTCCCAGCAATCTTCTTGGTGGATCATAAAATCCTTTGATTTCACTCCTGCTACTTCTGAAGATCTCAATATACCTATTTAAAAATGTTTTAAGGTACAAGTTTCAGCATAAATGTATTATTAGTGTTATTTAGATATTGGGCAAAATGCAGCAAGTCTTTCTACACCTAGTACATAACCCAATTTAAAATACCTAAACATACCATAACGTAACATTTTTTACACCTACAAGCTTAAATAATTAAGTTTTACATAGGCAAATGAGTCATTTGAAAACAATTCATAAAATACAAATATATTTTTAATTTGTTTCCTTTAGCACATGATAGATGTTTCAGGAAAATATGTATGATACAAAAGCATTTATCAACAACAGCCTACAGAGAAATGGAAACAATCTACTTTTAATTTAAACAAACTATTAGCATCAATTCCCCACCCAAATCTGTAGTTTCCAAGTTAAATTTAGGTAATTATCAATTCTTTTAAACTACCCCAGAAAAATGTTATGGTTACCCCCCCATTTAAGCAATAGTGACCCACAACCCCCAAAATAAAAAGTTTAACACCATCCCCAACTCTCCATCCCCACCTGTGCCCTATTCTTTCCTTGTGTTTCCCCAGAGCATTTTCTGCTATCTCCTTTGAAGCAAACTGCACGAAGGCCTCCCCTGTGCTTCGCCCCTGGTAGTCCATCGTCAATGTTATCCCATTTGGCACGATTTCCAACCCTTTAACCCAAGGACAAATAACCCCATCAAGGGGAACAGTGTTAAAGGCTGAAACATTCCCATCTGAATCATATATTTAAAAACATGTCTAAACAAAACAAAACAAAACAAAAAAAGCTTAGTTTCCCATCACCCCATAATACAAATGGAATATTTCTCAAATATTATTGGATTAAATAATTTTTTTTGCAACCAGTGTCTTTAAATTACACTTTTCTAAAAGCCCACCTATATTACATGAAAAAAAAAGCTTTAAGTCAAATATATGCTCCATATACTAATTCATGGTTCATTTTATCACACTATTCTCAATTAACTGTACTACATATCAATTAGGTTTTACATATTTTACATTCTGTATCCAATATTAACTGGAGCACATTTCATATTTTTAATACATACCCAAGATTAACACAAATTTAAGCTTCAAAATTAAATTGAGTTTTACAAATTGAACTGAGTAAATAATAAAAATACAAAATTAAAATACTACTAAACTTTGACTAATACTAGAGGTACCTTGAAAGAACTGAACTATTTCCTCTTTGCTGCAACCAAATGGCAATCCACGAAGTCGTACTGTCCCATCACTAGCGTCATTTGGACCATTATGTTTCATAACCCAATCCATCTCAATACCGTTTGATTTAAATGCTATAAAAAATAAACAAGCACATAAAGCAGTCAATCAAAATACACCCTTGTCAAGAGGTACCAAAGAAAACACCTCTCAGAAGTGTTACAATAGGAATTACTAACAACATAAGACCTAAGAATTACTAAAATAAGACCTAAGACAATTCTGGTGGCCATGTCACAATAAATGGTACCCCAACTTTCTATTTTGAAGTAGGGAAACTAGTGAAACCTAACTTCCCCCCCAAACAAAAATCCTCAACTTCTCAGTACCAAGTATTTTGTGTTAGTTAAAAAAAACATTTTTTGCATAATCCCACTACCTGAATCCTGAAACAATTTGATTATGTTATCTTAAGGCCATCTCTAGTGTTTCCCTCATCTCTCACTTCTCAGGATTTCTTTTTATTCACTTAAAAACAGGCAAAGTTTCAAAATCTTTAACTGTTAGGAAGCTGTGTGTTGTTCAGTTAGCTGTCCACTCACATTAAGAACCTAAGTTAGGCCAGGCGCTGTAATCCCAGCACTCGGGAGGCTGAGGCAGGAGGATTTCTGTGAGTTCCAGACCAGCCTGAGTTCCAGGTCAGTCTCAACTACATAGTGAGACCATATCAAAAAACAAAACAAAACAAAACAAAAAGAACCTAAGTAAAAAAATGAAACGAGTACTGAATGTTGGAAAGAAAGGCATTACAAAAGGCTAAGTTCTTAGATGCACTATTAATTCTGAACACATCAAATTGACTGGGGGAAAAACCCACTTCTATTTTAAGTAAATCTAGTTCACTTACCAAGAGCAAGAGTTTTTTTTTTGTTTGTTTTTTTGGAGACAGAGTTAATCAGATTCAGTTTAAAAACAAGTTAAAAGATACTCAAAAGTGAATGCCTTTGAACAGTAAGTATCCCCAACCCTCCAATACCAGGGATTGAACTCAGGACCTTTCACTTGCAAGTAGGCGTGGTGCTACTGTGCTAAATCCCTGGCCCAGTAAAGCCTATTTTTCAAGCTATTCATTTGGAAGTCACTGGTAACAGTATACAATCAGTTTGCTCACTGCTGTAACTTTTTAGTCAAAAGGCGATACATTCACATTCAGATAGTATTAAAAAAAAAAAAAAAAAAAAAA